TCCAGCTGAAATGCATGCGGGACTTCCTCTTCGCGGATGATGCAGCTATTGTTGCCCATTCTGCTGAAGACCTCCAACAACTTATATATTGTTTTAGCAAGGCCTGCCAAGATATTGGATTAACAATCAGCCTGAAGAAAACACAAGTTATGGGCCAGGGTGTGGACTTATCTCTCTCTATAACTATCTCCACACAAGAATTGGACGTTGTTCATGATTTTGTGTACCTTGGCGCAACAATCTCTGCCCCCCCCTTGATGTCAAGCTGGATAAACACATTGGCAAAGCAGCTACCATGTTCTCTAGATTCAAAAAGAGTGTATGGCTAAACAAAAGCTGATGCCATATACCAAGATCCAGGCCTATAGAGCTTGTGTCCTGAGCACACCCCTGTACTGCAGTGAGTCCTGGACACTTTGTGTGCGGCAGGAGAGGAAGTTGAACACGTTCCATATGCGTTGTCTCTGATGCATTTTTGGCATCAAATCCCAACTCTGTTAGAGACGTGGCCTTATTCCTGGACAATCTTTCCTTTCCTAGCCAAAATAAATAAATAAATTCTTTGCATTTCAAAAAGGCACAGAAGGGGGGCAGATTGCCCCACTATCCCCTGTTTTAAGAGATGGGCCATAAATTCCAAACTGCTAGCTGAGGAGGAGCTTGAAAACAACTTGCATACTGCACTGTCTGCATTTAAGAAACTAAACTGGCTTCAACATCAGCAGCTATGTGAATCTGGGACCTTAAAAACAGCATATAAGTTGGAATTTTCCACTAATGTTTCTGCTAGCTGGGCTACACACTCCTCACGCTGTTGCAGGTACCACTCAGGCACCTATTTATAATCTTTAATGCCTAAAATCCTAGTCATCAGTCCTTTGTGCCACTAGGCAAGGTGTTAAACTGTAAGAACCACACCCCCACAATAACCTTCAAGACCTCTATTACCATAGTCTCTTGAGACTGAAGGATGCCTACCAATCCCAACTCTGTTAGAGACATGGCCTTATTCCTGGACAATCTTTCCTCTCCTAGCCAAAAAAAAAATTCTTTGCATTTCAAAAAGGCAGAGAAGGGGGGCAGATTGCCCCACTATCCTCTGTTTTAAGAGATGGGCCATAAATTCCAAACTGCTAGCTGAGGAGGAGCTTGAAAACAACTTGCATACTGCACTATCTGCATTTAAGAAACTAAACTGGCTTCAACATCAGCAGCTATGTGAATCTGGTACCTTAAAAACAGCATATAAGTTGGAACTTTCCACTAATGTTTCTGCTAGCTGGGCTACACACTCCTCACGCTGTTGCAGGTACCACTCAGGCACCTATTTATAACCTTTAATGCCTAAAATCCTAGTCATCAGTCCTTTGTGCCACTAGGCAAGGTGTTAAACTGTAAGAACCACACCCCCACAATAACCT